ACCCTGTATGCCACCAATTAGATATAGAACAAATAGTAAATTTAAAAACATGATACCTTTAGAAAGGAAATCCAATAAAAATTATATGGTTCAATCTAGGATACTACAGTAGGGGGTCTGTGGTATCTAACATTTCAATACAAATATAAGTATTAAATACATTTTAATACAAATAAATGCGGTTCCTGGAACCCCTTACTCGCCGTAGAAACGCGAGGCCAGGAACATAGCAATATGTATGTCATATATAATATTAAATAAAATATTTTATAGATTTATTTAAAACTTACTAGACAACTTGTGAGCCCTAATTAAAATACTATTCCAATTATCAAATTTCCTCACCTATTCCAACTTCTCATAACGTCCTTAAAATACATTCTATGCAACAGAATGGATTCTATTTACCCTTGTATCCTGATATAAATTCCATCTCCATAGAAGAAAAGAGAAAAAAATCTAAAATGTCGCAACACAAAATACAAATGTTTATTTTGAAATGTTACAAGAAACTTCTTTACTCTACAATGGCATCAAAATGTATTTGATTATTAGATAGAGCATTTATCTCTTCACACATTTATACCATCTCTTAAAGCCAGAAAATGGAATAAATTAATGTTATAACAAAAATAAATAACTAGATACGTTTTCGATGTAGAATGTTTAAATATCCATTCTCGTCCTATAAGATTACCAGCTATTTCAATAAGATTTGATGCTTTATGAAAATACCTGAAACTAGTACGCATACAGCGTGCATAGCCCTCCCTCTTACCTTAAAATGCCCTTGGGCAATAAAAGGAAATTGAAAATTTATGTATATATAACATTTATATATATATATATATATATTGTATTTTGTAATCAAGAAATTCCTGGGGGGTAGGGAAAAAAAATACCTGAAACAAATATATTTCTACAGTACCAATGAATCGCATAAAGACTTGAAAAGTGCTGGTCCGATGAATAGATTCTTGAATGAGATTTTTGATCAATTTTATAATATTTCATTTTTATATTGAAGTTGTTGGGTTCTATTACAATATCTTATATTTAGAAGTGATAGGAGATAATAATATGAGACTGAGGATTTGTCAATTTATTATTATTATTTATTTATTTTTATTTTAATATTTAATATTATTGTTAACAATCCTGACAAATACTATAGCAGATCATAATGTCATTTTCCACTATTAATTTATCCAAAACATTTATATAGTATTATAGTTATCAGGTTGGTAACAAAATATAGCTCTAGCTACCAGCTGTACTATTTTGGATTAGGATAATATATAAAAGTAAACTGTGATATCAGATGAATTCGACTCTGAATATATTATTTTTTGCTTTTATGACAGTTGGGTGTGGTAACCGAAATAAACATGGAAGTGAAATACAGTTTCTATATTCATGCGAGATAATAACAAACCCAAGAAGAAATAAATGTGTCGTAATAAATAAACGTTTAACTCTGTCAACTATTCCTCTTGTAGGAAAAAATATGAATGGCCTTATATTAAAGACTGACATTTGTTATTTTTAAATAGTTGAGAAAACGCCAATTTTCTGTTACATAGTTTCACTATAAACCGATCCCAATAATTCTTTTTCATGATTCAACTTGAACTTTCATAAACAAAATCTTCAGAAATAGTTTTAGTTGAACTAATAGAATAAATATTGAATTTTCCTACGCTTTTTTGAAAATTACAGATGTTTGTTTTAGATATGAAGCCAATCATATCGCGGCATTGGTTTGAAAAGGTTCTTACTGCATTTACTATAATTTTGATAAATAGATCTTCAAAGTTACAATTTTTTTTTTCTATTTTTGTTTACTTAGTACTTTTAAAACTAAAGACCAACCCCAACCAACCAACCCAGCTACAGGCCTGTCACGAAACTAAAAAGCTCAGGTCTAAAGTCTCTCGATCGGAATGGGAGACATTATGCAACGTTAGACATGTTGCGCAACATTTTGACACGTTGGACGTCAATCGGCGTCTAGAGGCGAGACATGTCCCAATCTGCCTCCAGCTACCGAGTGGTTGGTTCGGCTATTTACAGTTATTTTCCCAAGTATTACAGTTCTTTTGAAAACTTGTTGTCTAATGAGAAACGTTTTGAAACTAATTGAAGATTACCATGGCCTCTCCCAGTCTTAATTTATTTAATAACGAATTTCCGAACCTAGATCCATCTACGAGCACCAACGTTTACATTTTCGCGTTTCTTCACTTGTAAGTAGTAGTAGGCGGAACTCATTTCACATAACATTATGTCCTCTATGGTGAGCTGTGAAGATAAGAAATTCACACCGTTGTGTGAACACTAGACGAAACAAAGAACGTTGTCTAGACTATTTAATAATAATAAGAAGAAGCCCCCTGTTTCCTGTTTCTATGAAGAGTTGAAGTGGCTTTATTCTTCTTACCGCCGTAAGTATTTCCTGGCATCCTTCCTCTTCCAAGTAATTCACTCCCGCCGTCTTTCATACATCGCCGAGCTCCTTCAATTTAAATCCTCTGTCCACTCCCGCAATACCCGTTCCCGGTCTTCAGACTTATATATAATGGCCCACTGAACCGCTCCTTTCGATAAATCTTTTATTATTCGATCCTCTTCCCTATGGAACTCCATCCCTCCCCACATCCGTCAATCCAAAACTCTTCCTACCTTTAAATCCCAACTGCTTAATCATTTCTTATCCATCCAGTCATCATAAAATTGTAAATAGTTACTACTGTAAATATTTATATAAATTATTAGATCGTTCTTTATTTTTTTTTTACTTCATGTTTATTTTCAATGTTTTACTTTTCATTATCAACTGATGTAAATTAGAAAGTAACTTATAATTTCTCTTATTATTTTTTTTTCATTTTTTTTTTTACTATTTAATTAAACTATATTCTTCTTTATGTATCTCTGAGGCTCTTTAGCCCACATTCTTGTCTCTTTGTATTATTCTTAAGGGACTCGTCCAGGAATAAATAAAGCATTATTATTATTATTATTATTTATAGAAAAATCGCTCAACAATGTCCATTACTGTATATAAGGCTTTATAATACCAATTTTGTTTGTACAATACCTTAAAGCAATAGACTTATATTTGCATTCATCGATGACTTAATTATACAATTTATTAAATTGTTCTGAAAATTTAAAATTTGAAGCAGGAACATTTTCATACTAGAAGGCATTTTCGTGGTGAGACAAGGCTGTAAGTGCACATAAAACGTTCTGAAACCAATTGCATTATTCTTTTATTCTGTTATTACCGTTCTTCTGGAATTTGATAAAGTCGTAAATGCAGACAAAAGTTTCTCTTTATAGTTAATTATTTTAGCCTTTTTAAAGTGAGCGAATTATAGTTTATTTATGTCAGAAGCAATAATCTCCTTTTAAATCATTGCCCATGCGGTTTAATTGAAGACAAAATGAGAACAAAAATTAGATTTTTAGCAGAAACAACACCAGAATAAATGTTCCAAAAAATGTTAATTACATCTAATGGAATATGCATTGCTAAAACATAGCATAAATAATGTAAGATTTGTTTGTCAACACTATATATTTTTTTGTAGCTTTTTACCTTCTAAAATTATAGTATAATATACATTTTATAAAAATTATGCATATATCACATATGCCGTTTCTGAAATAACCTTACTTGTTGTTATCACAGGTTAGAACTATGAAACACTGCTAGTTTCTATACGAGTCGTTCACTTGACCCTTGAGCTACTCCACTTTCTTATTATCAACATTTTCGATTATTAATTTTAGTGATAATTCCAGAGGGTAAATTTATACCTTAATTTAAGTTCTATATTTCAACACTAGAATCACCTACTATGAAATCAACCAACTCAGTTTCAGTACAGATACTATAAATTTACCTCCTAGAAATATCATTAAAATGACTTTACTCTAAAATGTTTAAAATAGAGTCAGTCATCCTGTAAACTGAAAGGCTCATGTTTCATATGATTGTAATAAAATTTATTTAGATCATAGATAACTTCATTCTGCAAGAAAAATCGATTTGTCCAACATTGTTAGTTAGAACCAGAGTTTGAAATATATAATTGTTTTTCCACAAAATCATGTAATGATTATTATATATGATTTTTAATTAAAAAATCATGCTTGATTTTTAAATAAAAATTTAAATCGGTCATTGATGTTTATTGATTCAATTAAAAATAACGATTACTCACTGAATGATACAGATTTATATAAAGAACAACGATTAAATTTTAATAAAAAAAATTATGAGAAAATAAAAAGCATCTTTTACTCACAAATTAAATTAAATATTAATACGTATGTGTACGTTATTAATGTACATATTTTTTAATATTATATTTATGAAATAGATTTAGTTACACAAGCGGCACATGCAAAATACAAATGTTTTTGTTTTGTTTTTCATTGATATTTACAACTGTATTATAAAAAAATACAACTAGTAAATGTCCACCCAGAAATATAATAACATGAAATCGCTTGTTGAGAAACTAACCACTGATAGCACTCAAATAAAATACAAATGTATATTTCGTGTATATCAAAATTTCTAATGAATTTCTCAAATAAATGTGTTCTGTTGCTAATAGTTGACAACAATATTCTCCACCTACTACTCCCGACTCAAAATATAACATAGGGATTACAAAACAATTATATTTCTGATTTGAAAAAATAATTACTCATAATAATTATTAATTTTAATTATTGTTAATTCGAAATGTTTTGTTAAAAATGATGATCGGGATATAATTTTTATTACTTATGGTCAAAAATGAAAATCGCCCTATATAATGATTTTTAAAAATTCCAGATAAAAATTGTTATCAAATTTGATTTTGATTTTTTTAATTATCGATTCAACTCTGGTTAGAACCTATTCAAACCAAGGCCACGATATGTCTAGTGAAAAGGTTTTTAGTTATCCATTTATGGTATTTACATTTCAATCAGTATACCTTTGACCGAAATCGGTAATTCTTCTCCAACTGCTGCTGCAAGAGTTGAGCTGCTTTGTTCTTACTGAATGGCTTGGCCAGGTTGAGCATGACGAAAAAAACAATGCCAAGAGACCAGATGTCGCATTTCTTCGGGGAGTATGGGTGGCCCCTCAGAATCTCAGGAGCAGCGTAAGAGAGTGAGCCACAGTAGGTCTCGCTAAGAACTTCCTCTCCTTGAGGGTCTACCCAATACCTATAAAAAATAATAAATTAAAAATTAAATTATTATCAAACCTATAGCAAATAATAGTTGTTGAATTATATTGTATGAACTTCGAGAATATTACGTTATATTGATTTAGGCTATACATGCTGTGCATTAGGCAATTTATTCAATTTCCTGTGTATATATATATATATATTACTCCCTCTCCACAAGATCTCGACCTTCCGACCTTTACATTCCTTCTCACAGATCTGCCTCGTTCCAAAACTCCTTTATTGCTCGTTCTGTTAGTATCTGGAATTCCCTTCCTATCAAAATTCGACATTCTTCATCCCTATCTACATTCAAAACCCTACTATCCCAATTCCTGTCCCAAAAACAGTCAGATACCAGCTGACATTTTATGTAAAATTACATATTATTTATAATAACATATTCACATATAGCTCATAACCTAAATACTTATTATAGATTCGATTTTCTTTTTTTTTTCAACAGAAACACAGATTTTACTGTTAAGAAAAATTTACATTTATTTTTTCTGTATTATTTATTTTTTCTAAAAGAGTTTATTTATATTTTAACATTGTACATAGTTTTAAGTATCTTAGTATGGTTTCAAGAGTTTTGTATATAGATTTTTTTATTTTATTTTGTAAAATAGATTTTTTTTGTATATAGATTTGTCTATTTGTATATAGATTTTTTTATTATAAATATTAGTTATAGTATGTATAACTAATATTTTTTTTTCTTTTTTTTTACTGATTTATCTTTACCCTAACGTTTTATGTATGTTCTTATCTGGCCAGATATAAAATTTTAATTTCTGTACTTTTTTGTTATTCTGAAGGGACTTTGTCCCAGAGTAAAATTATTTTTCTATTCTATTCTATTCTACTATATATATGTATAATGATGTATATAAGAATTAGCGTACTGTGTTATCACCTGCCTAAGTTACAGATTTTCTCACAGTGTAGTAACTTTTTTTTAAAGGATTGTCTGATTATATTATTTTAGTTTAGATATTGAGATATTATTAAAATGTATTTAGTTTGACGATTGATATAAAAATATGACTTGAAATAATCTTTATGTCAAATAACCATTAAAATGACAATAAATGAACAATACTTCATTTCATTATTCTTTATTGCACTCTACTTGTAATCTTACAATTAGACTAGTTCCCTTGATTGTATTTATAAAACATAAAAAAAAAAAAAAACAGCCTCCTTTGTATTATATTATTATTATTTGTTTTCCACATACCTAATCTATTATATCTAAATTATTGTCTGTTAAAATTATAATTTATTTATTCATATTTTTATTACTCATTTGATATAATACATTTGTTTTTATTTTGACTTTTTTTGGTTTATTCCTAAATTCATATTTCAATATTAAACCAGTCCATAGGCTAAGTGCGAGTATATAATAAAAATGAAAAAAGAAAAATTACCTAATTTTATTGTTGTCTTAATTTTTCAACCATTTACCTGTATATTAGTAATTTTAAAAAATAGATTCTTGAAGAATCAGGTATTACAAAAAAATAAACTTAAAAAATAAAAAAATAAACTATAACCAGAAAATCTCCAAAAACAATTTTATTCATCACCATACACTATATTATTTAAAATTAACTTAGTTAATTTAATTCGGATTTCAGTTTAATCAGATGGTATAAGTAAAAGTTATATCGAAATTCCAGTTTTTGGTTTTGAAAAAGCTATAACAGCCCACATTTCTTATTCGAGAATTGACATTAAATCATTTATGCTATGGATGGTATAAACCTCAAAACTATTTAGCTAAATTAGAAAAATAATTGTAAAATTATGTAGTATGGGTAATAGTGTAATAATAAGTGTTAAATAACTTACTGGGTTTTCTTTAAGATGTATATTAGTTCGTTATAAAGACAAGTATCAATCATATATTTTCAAAATTAATATTTCTGCGAAACATTTTTAATTAAATTAAAATTTAAAAAATATTGAGAAGAAAGTATCAAATGAAAATAAAGCATGATAAATAAGATTTAATTTGCGCTACAGATAGAAATTAACCGTAACATACAAAGGAAAATAAATACTTTAAAGAAGTACCTAGGACTAATATATTTTAAGCGCCTCACTTCAACCCGATATCCGAGATCGAATTGGATCCCATTTAGTTGTTCTTGGGATAAGAGTTGTTGTGGAAACTTTTATTATTGATGAAATTCTATAAGACAGTTACAAGGTACAAGATAGCTTCGGCCGTAACAATTAAAGTTCTTTTATTTACTTAGTTGTTTGACGATAAGATGAGATTTTTTAAACATATACATATTGGAATCTCTTATCAATATATCAAGCTATGCGAAGTTTTTTAAACATTTTCTCTACCTCTGTAGGATTAACTTTTTTCGCTCGGTTTTCTGTTTTGTATAAATGTTTAATTTGAATTTTTTTTATCAACTAATAAAAAATACATTTTACTTCAATTAAAGGAATTGAGTATTAGAGCTGCATGAGATTCATTCATACTTTGTCCAAAATAACAAAAACTATATAAAAATTATTACAAATGAAAAGAAAAAGAAAACGAAACTAAACAAAAGAAATGAAACTTTTGAAAACATTAAATAAAAATATAAAATTAATAATAACACATTCATACTTACATACAATATTTACAGTCAGCCGAGGGAGCTCCGATTCTGGCCCTTTCTTGGTAACTGAAGAAGACAAGGCAAGACTCTAAGAGATCTCAGCGCTTTTCTCTCAGCCGTGTTAGGGATAGGAATCCAGTGGAGACTAAAAGAGGGTACTAAAGCCACATTCACTCACGACATGGGTGCAGAAGCTGGCCATTTCCAAGAGACTCCAGTGACGTATTTTTAAAAGATCTCGAGGCCACTGCCAATTCAAACTTCGAGAAGAATTGTGGGGATGACTGGAGCTGAATAATGATTGTGATAAGGGATTAGGATGATGGATTAGGTTCTGATGAAAATTTGTGAATCGGGATGGAATAATGTCAACGACTTAAAGGATGCTAAGGTCATGATTTAGAGTTTTGTTTGTAATATAATAAGGAGCATTGGCTATTGTTCGAATGGCTTTAGATTGGAAGGATTTGATTTGTTTGGTGTTCGAAAATTTAGCTGCTTCTCCTAGTTCAGGTCCGTGGGCCTAGGTGTAGAGGACTGGGCCCATGACACTGTTTTGTGGAACACCAGCCTCAACTGAATAATAATTGAAAAGATCAGTGTCGCAACGGAATTGAAGGATCTATTTGAGAGGTATGATTTGACGACTAGGTACAAGGATAGGAATAAATGGATTTTGAGCTTGAAAAGCAAGTCATTGTGCCCATACCTGGTTGAAAGCTTGCGCTTACCAGAAAGGTACCAGTGCAACATTGTTTGAAAAATAATTAGATTTTTATATCGATAATACATACAAAATAATATCGTTGGAATAATTATAGTAGTTTTAGTTTTTAATTTAAAAAAACATTAATTTTGGGATGATAAATAAATAAAGATTTTTAGCCATCCTGATGGCTTCAAATTTAATTCCACACCCTTGAAAGCCAACTATATAAAATATTACATAGATCATTTAACAGTGGAAGCGTGAATCATTTTTATCATTCTTAATTCATAATCTAGAAATATTAAGAGATATGTGACCTACCTGGCAAAACCGAAGTCGGCTAGCTTTGCGTTGAGGTTGTCCGTTATGAGAACGTTTTCGCACTTGATGTCCCTGTGGGCGATCCTCTTGCTATGGAGGTACCTCACCGCCAAGAGGAGCTGCCGCATCCACATCCTTGCGTGGCTCTCTTCGACAGCACCGTGTTTGGTCAGGTAATCCAGCAGGTCCCCGTTCTCTGCATACCTGGACAAAGGTCGTATCCGTTACTGGTTCAAATTTTTATAATTGAAACTTCTTAAAGCTTAAGTAATATTTTCGATATTAAGTTATAATTGGAAAACTCAAAGCCACGAATCGCTGAAATGGAGAGGAAAAAACTCATCAGAAGAGGAAGGACATGCAAATTAGAAATAATATATCGACATTCAAATATATATTTAAGGAAAGTGGAGGTAACACGAGGAAAGGTGACAAATGTTCCTCATTTTTTGGGGATTATGATGGACAGAGGTTAAGTTACATCGAACTCCCAAACCGACTTAAATTGTATTTGATAAGAAAATTTTTTTTTTTTTTGTAATATTTATGGCTTGTATTTTCGTTAGATTTTATCTGACCATTGAAATATTAATTATATTATTCGTAATTTTATCCATTTTTTAACTTCTTAGAACAACTATTATATCTACTAACACGCAATCTTAACGTTAATTCATGTAATAAATTAAAATAAAAAACTACGGCGTATGCTTGAGAATACACGATAGAGAGGCAGGATATATACATAAAGACGGAATTAACAATATGAAATATATATATATTTTTTGTTTTATATTCACAATGTAATATTTTTATATATTGTTTTATGTCCAAAATAATATCTTGATGCGTCTCCACGTTAGATAGGTAAAAGGAAGAATATGTCGAGTCAAAAGATAACGAGTTTATTTGGATGAAAATATTTCCAAAACTAATCCGGATCTGCTTACAGCGTGAGAAAATTTCAGCTTTTCAACCTCTTTGCAAATAAGCTCTAATTCATAATTATATTTTGACGTGACACTGAGTCAGAAAGTCGGAAATATAGTGCCAAAAAAAAAATAAAAAACGACTGTTTTGAACATTCGGACATAGATATCTCAAAATATAAATACCATGAAAAATTCCAAAACCAATTTGCAGAAGTCAATAAGGAAAAAGGACAAAGGGGGAAACTTGACTCGAAGATACTCTAAGACGGATAAGAGTGAGCAAATGGAAATTGGCTGGGCATCTCTTTCGGTGCGAAGATAATATACGGTCAAGAATTACATACTGGACTCCATATGACCTGAAAAGAATAAGAGGCTACAGAAAGAAAAGTGGAACGGCTCGTTGAAGTGGTTGGCAGTGGATGGAGAGCTACAAGAGACTGGGATGTTTGGAAGATGTGGGCAGAACTTGGATCCCAATATGGTTAGCTACCCCGGTAAATGCTGACAATTACTCCCGCAATAGAAGGAATATGCACGAAAGGAAAAATAAAAAATAAAATACTAAATTTATGAATTTATTTCATTGAATTATGTATTAATCTTTGCATAAATGAAGGCTATTAGGTATACATAGGACTAAATCATACATGGTTATAGTCATACAGCGCATCTGTAGAAAACAGTTCACTGTCTTTAATTAAACATAATAAATAAACATAAAAACAGGTAACCTATAAGAAATGATAAACGTTAAAATATTGAAATTCTTAGTTCTAGAATCATCATCTTTATCTCAGAAATGGAGAAGCATTTAGGAAACCATTGGACTTTATATTACTTTAGACAATAACCAACAATGATGGCAACGCTTAATGATTTTTGTCCAAGATAATATAATTGAATATGTTAGTCTATTGGTTTTGGGAGAAGAAGAAGGGAAATATTTGGAGCAAGAAATTCATACCAAAGAATTAATTTTTTTTTTTCATTTTTAGAACAAAGGTTAAAGTCATTAAATGCATAATTTACCTTACAGTAATAAGCTGTAAAGATCCTTAAAACATATGACTGTCTTTATGATTTTCTTTATCAGAAAACCAAAAAAAAAAAAAAACCTGCCGGCAGTTAGTCTAAGGAGTTATAAACTAGCAGTTTGGAGAACCATATCTAGTTTATGATCAATTTTTCAAGACTACCTTTTTCCGTTTTCAATTTATACCCGAATTGACGTGAAATGGCTATCCTTTATTGAAAGATTGTTTTCTGATAAAAGACCATGAAAACTTCTATTTTTTACCCAAACTATAATTTTCTGATAAGACCATGTCATCATGATAAAGAATGTTTTTGAAATGATCTCTTAACTAACTTATTCTACCTAAAATAAAATAATATAAACTGGGATGGATTATTTATAATGAGATTTAAAATATATACAATACTCACCTCATGAACACAAAACACTTAGACTTAATCTCAAGGATAGAGTATATCTGAACACAATGAGGGTTAGACAGTTCAGAGAGAACGGTCACTTCGCGAGGTAGAAATTTGGTGATGAACTTGGGCTCACCGTTCTTCTTGTCGATTACCTTGCAGGCCATGATGATATCCGCTTTGTTAGTTCTGGTGTAGTTGGTCAAGTAGATCTTTGCCGAACATCCTTGGCTCAGTTTCTTGCTCAGGGTGTAGCCCCTATTTTTCAGTCGCAGTACCTCCGCCTCCGTCACCGATGGACTGATTGAAAGTCACAATATAAGATGAAAATGAAAGATAAAGTGGAAGATAAGTACTACATTATATCACATTTCTTGAATAATTTAAACTAATGCATTTTTTTTTATTATTTCTTAATGACATTTACAACTGTATTACATAAATACATCTAGTAAATTTGGACATAGTAGATATAATGACATGAATACACTTGCTGAGTAACTACCCAATGGTAGCACTCTAATGATATGACTAAATTAGGAGATCACGGGGCCATCTTCTTTTCAGACGCCTCGGAGGGTTATCAGGAATTCAAGAGGAAGCAAGGTTAGAAACGAGAGGGTTGGGGTGATTCTGAAGTTTATTATGGAAGGATAGGTATCTGGATTGGGCCAGATCTGAAAAATAAGGAACATTAAGATCTTTATGGATAATTTTATTAGTGACAAAGTAAGGGGCATTGAGGATTTTACGAAGGATTTTGGATTATAAGGATTGGATACGAGAGGAATTCGATGGTTTAGTGGAGCCCCATAGCTCAACTCCGTAAGTCCAAATAGGTCTTATTATAGTCAAGTATATGAGTCTTTTGTAATTAATGGGAACTTTAGAGCGTTTGTCTAGTAAGTGTTGAAGTAATCGGAAACGTCGGGCGGTTTCTTGTCGTTTCAGTCTAGTATGAGGATTCGAAGTTAGTCGCTTGTCCAGGTGGAGTCCAAGGTATCTAATTTGCTCAACAGGGATAAGTGGAGTATTGTTAAAGGAAACTGTAGGACAGGCAGTCGTTGGTTTACGACGATAAACTAATGCATTTGAATTTCATGTTTGGTGTAATATGTTGTGTATATGTAATGGGTTTTAAAACCTTTAGTGGAATAAACCTCTTAAACACATGTAGATTGCAAATAAACAATCAATCACCAAATAGCTTTTTTATAACAAATGGTCAATTAATCTATTTCTTAACTTAACAATCGCATAAAAAACCTTAAACACTGGAGTTACAACGTAACCTCAAGTATTAGAACAGATTGGCAATTAGGCTGATAGGTAAATTTAATATCAATAAACATTAATTTGCCTCAGACATACTGAGGCGCTAACCGGTTTGGATAGGCTGGTGAAGATAGTTTACCGGTCGAGTGTCCTCGTCATTGGTTTAATAGGATGACCATATTGTTGATAAAAGGACAAATAGGAGGGGTGCTTGTTGTCGGTGAGTATTCTCAAAGCAGAGGGCAGAGCCCCGAAGCAGCACATCTTGAAACAGCCAATGCCAAGCTCCGGTCTGTAGTGCCAGAACAACAAGAGTTAGTTAAAGAGGCCAAAAGAAGAGGCAAAAACTAATCTTAGTATACAATAGGAAGGTCCCAAAGGTTTCCGCTGTGCACTTATTACTAATCAGTCATTGTTCTCCTTGTCAAAGAGCATACTCAGGATCACTTATAATATTTGTTGTAATATAACTATTCTGTTTAAAAGAATATGTCCAAATTTAACACTTAGTCAACAAGGATAGTCGGATTGAACCCATCAATATGAATAAAACATCGCAGGTACATAAAGTGAGTGATCTATAAATATCAATTAAAGCTTAGGTAACATTATTTTCAGTTGTTCAGGTGATAGATATAGTATTGGATCATGTAGGAGCGTTAAGGTCGTGGATGTATTTTCTCTTCAAACACTACTTTTAAGGAATGAGTTGGATTAGACCTTATTGGATTTTATTTATTTAGAAATATAATAATCTGTCACGTAGACAATAATTATAGTGAGTAGATTTTTAAATTACAATACTTTTTATTATCTGAAACGTCTCTCAACACAAAGATAAGAATTACTTTTTTAAAAAAATTTAAATCCACTTATTTCCGGACTTCAAGACAATTTCCTATCGAAATTAAAAATTAGAAATTCATCAATAGTTTACTTTAATTTTTTTGCGCGTGTGTAATTAAGGAGTGACAAGATCCTTTAGAATATCCAATGCATATGATGGCGAAGGATAGAATTTTTCAAAGAAGTTACCATTGTTCGACTCTTGTAGTCGAGGCTAGTCATTCAACCCATAATCACGTTTACAAGCATGACGGATCACGTCTTTATCATGTGCCAACAGATAGATAAATTTATTCTTTTATATTCCATTCACTTTCGCCTTATGAATTAAGAGACCATTACCTAAATTAAACTCTCTTTGCCAAGCAATAGATCATCCCCTGGAAAGGGTAATGTACTACTTATCTTCTAAATAGTCCGTGAACTCGCCAGAGACCTTGACGCTATTCTCACTGCCAGATCCAACCTAGTTGCGTCATTTCTGGAGATTGATATCATCTGCGACCCTGACGTTACAGCAGGACGGATTTTTCAAAATAGATTGCTGTAGTTAGACGGACAGAATAAAATAAACAATAGATTGCTATATCTTGGTTGGGATCAATTTCAATGCAACTTTGATGAATTGTAGGTTTTGTAATAGTTACTCATGAGCTTCTACATTATTAATAATATGAAATTAATTTAATTTAAGATGTTTGTTCTTGATGATTTTAAATAAATTTCAAAAAAATCAATTTATATTCCTAATATTTTTGGAATACTACTTGTGAATCTATGGAAGGAAAAAACACTAAATATGGTATCAAATTCTATAAGACATTATGAACCTGATATTCCAGTAATAAAGGTTAATATCCTCTGTTTTTTTAAAAAAAATAATGTGGATGTATGGCATATTGTTTGCAACTAACATAAAGTTATGGCTCTCATTTCTCTGCATATGCTAACCTTTACACTAATAAATAAAAAATATAGTTAAAACAAGATTAATTTTTTCTAAAACATAAAAATGAAAATATTAATATACTTTAATTTTTTCCACCCCGAAACTGACGATGATTTCCTGAATCAATTAGTTTTTACGAAATTATTGCTAAAAACAAAACTAAAAAAAGAGCTTACTCTTCCTCATCTTCTTCTTTCTTGTGGTGTCGCTTTGTCGATGTTCTATTTGTTGCTTCGCTTCCTTTCTCTTCTTCTTTGGCTTTGGTTGTCGCCATCTTGACGTGCAGGGCACCCTTAGGCCAAGGAGTTGTAGAACTAAAAAAATTGTTCAAAATTTTAAAATTAAAAACAATTCAACTTTAGAAAAACAAAATTATATTATTCGTTATAGGATGATTCTAACCTATATATGTATACACACACACACACACACACTCACCCCCGTCCTCTGCCCACACACACAAACACACACACACACACACATATATATATATATATATATAATAAATTTGTTTATAAAAATAAACAGTTTTATTATATAAATTTTTTTATTTAGGGTTGGCGTCATCATAAGATCGAACCCTCTTACCAATACGGATCTACAATCATATGTTGTTTTTTTTTATGTATATATGTGTATATATGAAAAATATCGTTTTAGTAGATATTCGAGGATTTCGAGCTACATAAACATTTTATGGGCTACTACTGGAGTGTTTAGAGAGTTCACTTTATTTATTCCTTATAAATACGTGAAATCTAAACGTTATTGATATTGTTTTCAAGAGCAATAATTGATCTTTTTAAGATTTATAGATTAACTTAGGCGAAACTCTTGAGGAGTTATGTATATTTTAGTAAACACCATGAAAAAAAAAAATCCTTCAGTAAAATCGAGTAAAAACTTGATCCTCTATTCCAGCAATCTCTTGGAACAGCCCTGATGAAGGCCTGAACTTCAGGCCAAAACGTCGGCAGATGTTAAAATAAATATGATTATTTATATTTGCCTTCTTATTTCTGGCTGATCACCCCAACCTTCTCTTCATTATTCACGACGGTCAACCATTATCCCACAGTTAAAAAATTGATACTTTTAATTTCAAAACAAACTTGTATTTAAGATTTTTAAGTTTAAGAATCTGAACCTTTTTTCATGACAAACGTTTACTTAACCTAACTTAACTAGAAGTGCTTCTGGGTATTTGTAGTTTATTATACATTATAATTCATTTACTACATTATACGTTTATTATTTTACACAAAAAAAAAAAATCGAACGATATATAATAACTTAGAAATCCATACACATCAAAGACAGAAAACAGTAACATAAAAAATTGGCAATTTTTGTTTTGTTCTCGGCTCCTAGGTTACATTCGCAAGAACCCTTGGTCAGGGATAAAATATTTTTCGACCTAGTATCACCAAAAAAAAAAACATTGAAATCAATGACCCCACCTCCGTATCTCCCCTAGTAAATTTCACATAGTCTAACAATACAGACACAATTATCAATTAAATTTATTAAAATTAAAAGGTACAAGTCAGATAGTTGTTTGAGAATCATTGATTATAGGTACGGTAGGGGATCCAGTGATTTTCTGAAGAGGGAGGGGGAGTTCACTTATTTATCTTGAGTACCAGATAAATAATTCCATACACCAAAGTATTATATATATATATATATATGATGGTCGAAATTCCTTAACTGTAAAATTGACGTCTATGAACCTAAAACGCCTAACTTTTGAATATTTTATCTACAAATTTAATTAAAACAAATTCGAAGTGATCAAAGTACTCTAGCAACTACTTACAGCAACAATCTTTATATCTTTCCCTTGTAAATAAGGAATATTTAGTATAAATATACAGATTTTTTGAGTTATTCGTTATTTTTAAATAAAAATTATAAATAAAAATCAATTATTTCACACAATTCTCATTTCTGTTAAAATAATAATAATAATAATACCGTTGTGTAGTTATTTTTTAAATGATAATTTTGTTCTCACCTTCACTGGAGGGCCCCTACTGGATTATACTTATAGTGAATGAGTATACTTTTTTAACCCCATTAATCTCTTTTTCAACTATTTTTATTAGAGTATTAATTTTTATTTTAGTATTCCCTAAGCAAAAAATTGTGCATGATCTAATTGAATCTAAAACCATTTTATCAACCAGGTATCCTGGACTACGATCATGGAAATTCTTTATTCCTACAGGTAACTAGGAACTTCCAAGCAAATATTCAAAACTGATTGTCCTGTGAAAACATTTTTAAGCTAGCAAGTGTCGCAGGAGTTTATTATTGTTATCATATCATTCCATAACATCAATAATACTTCTTATGATTTTTTCGTTCATGCTTGTAATAATGCTTTTATTTTATTAGAATTTATGCTTTTATCTCTAAATTAAATATTAATATATAGGGAATAAGATATTATTAAAAATATTAAATGCTATTTTTGGATCCATTACTCAGAAACCTACTGTATCTAGTCTGCCATAAATAATTTTACAAAAGTTGAATTTTGTTTACATCCTTGGGTAATATTTAAATAGATTCCTTACCTCTATCAGGTTTCCTTTACATGTTAGTAAAGTATGTTAGTAAATAATAATCCCAATTAGTTTGTATTTTTGTTTCACTCAGTTAACATGGAGTAGATCGATAAAGAAAACTGATCACGTTACACAAAGTTGGAAAATGTAGGTCTGAGATTTTCAACACTTTGAAACCTTTGGGTATCAGCCGTATGTTCGTGTACCGCACTATAAATAGATATAATGAGATCCCATCTGTATGTAGCAGACCTCGACCGGGCTTTAAATGGTAATGGTTAAATGGGCTGTCTTCGCAGTGGGAGAACGGCAAATGCAGTGACTGCTCAAATCAGAAAAAATCTAATTCGAAAACAACAAATCATGTCTCGGGCAATGGGAATCTCTGTCAGATCAATGTCTCGCATAATAAAACGTGACCTTGGTATTGTTTTATTTCGAAGAACAACAGGGCAAAAGTTAATGACTTCCCTAAAAAAAAATAGAATGGATAGAGGAAAACTGCTCCTTAGCTGTCACACCAATGGTCTTTATCGAAAGATTTTTTTTAGTGATGAGAAAATTTTTACAATTGAAGAAAATTTTTTTGAAATGATTGTTTGTACACACACAGCTCTATAGAAGTCATTGGAAAAGTGGAAAGAGGTCATCAACCACCCTCAGTGATGGATTGTTGAAGAGTTTGCTTTGATGCTATCACAAAGCTCCATTTTTGTGAAAAATGATTTAAAACAACCGTTAAACACTGTCAGGAAGATATTTTGGGACCTATTGTGGAGCCTCTAAATGATACTCTGTTTGCTGGAAGTCATTGGGATTTCCAGCAGGACTCCAGCTCACAAGTCCAGGTCAACTCAGCAGTGGCTGCAAAAGAACAATCCAGAGTTCATCTCTCATCGTTCGGATTAGCCCTCAGGAAGCCCTAATCTCTACCCATTAGATTGCCGGCTTAAACCGAATTGGAGGGGATGGCATGCCACAAAGCACACTTTAAATTAGAAAGGCTCAAAGAATCCCCGGTCTGAGCAGTTGAGTTCTTTCTTCCAGAAGTGCTGCGTGCCGCTATGAATGGCTGGCCACGGAGATTAAATAATGCCTGTGTCACAGCAAAAGGGGAATATTTTGAGTAATTTCTTTTTTGTTTTACTCTCTGTAGATATAAATTTTGGTACTAGTTCACAAGAGTTCCGCACGGATTACGCGTGGTTCACAAACACTTCGATCACACTTGTTAATGGAATCACGAAAACAGCCGAATGTTGTTGTCTTTTATGACGTCAGCTATTTCCCCATCACAGAACCCCTTTTCATGCATTTTTGAAAAAAAAAAACCAACGTATTCCCTTCATGGAACTTCCTTACTAACAATTTATTAACGAATTGTGTATTTACTAATTAGTCAATTATTAATTTTTATTATAATGGTTATCATTTTGAAACAAAAAGAAAAAATACATAAAATAATGTTTGAGTCGTTTCTTCAAGGCCTGTTAAAAAAAAAATACTTTTAGAAATAACATTTTATTGACACGTGCTTACATGTAGTGGCTGTAAATACGCATATACTGTATGTTATCTTTTATAACTGTGTATAAAAGATTTTTTTATCATTTTCATAATAAATAATTTAAGTAATCTATTATCTTTCTAATTGTTGTTCGAGTTTTTCAATAGTAGTTGGAATAATTGTAGTTGGAATAATAAAGTACTTATTAAATGGCGGGAAAGTTAATAGTAACTGACCCAAGAGATCGGTAGCCTTCGTTCTCTTTCGGATAAACCCGAACGCATTCGGGATTCCAGGAACAAGTGTGACCGTAGTGATTGTGAACCATGCATAATCCGTGCGGAGCTCTTGTGAACTAGTACCTTAATTTTATTTTTTAATAAAGGTTTTGAAAAAAATAATTTTTCTGTTGAAATCTGTATATATTACCTTGTAACAATATTTATGACAGGTCTAGATATATTTATACACAACAAATTTACGTATAATAATATTGTAATATAGTATATCGCATTGTCATCGTTTTTAATCCCTTAGAAAACCTGTGTGAATGGAATGTAAAATTGCCAATTTAGCTTAGCTAGAGAACTAGCCCAGGAGAGATGCTGACCGCAACAGATAGAGGCGGTCCAATGTATTTGTATTCAGGACGATAAGCCACAGAATGTTAATATCCCTGTTCTATACTTATTTCTTCGAAGTGCTGTTAAGTAGATCACTCCTTTCAACTGACCTTAGGCCTTGACCAATGCAACAAAACAGCTATATATATATATATATATATAACAGTAAGAATATCTTTTGATTATTTATGATGATAACAAAAAAATAATAATAATAAAAAATTGAAACCTTTTCAAGATAGGCAGTAGCAAATATGAGTGGTTCAAAACGGTTGAAAATGAAAGCTCAATTTTATTTGAAGACTGTCGAAAAACTATACTCATAAGCTTCACATCTGATAAAGTGCGATATAGTTCTTTCTTCTCCAGACTTATACAGAATTAGGAATACGGTACTAAAAGAAAATTGAAAAACCAAGAGGAATACAAAGCAGCAGTCCTCGGGTTTTATCAATTTCTCTCATATATTTGCCCCAGCTCCCCTCCCAAGAACAAGATTGACCGCGTTCTATATCATTTCTGAGTTTGGTTTCCATTCTATGGGGCCCATTCTATCCTCTCTTCATTTATCTTTTCGGTGAAACATTCCTAATAAAAGTTATTACTGTATTAAAAAGTAAATAAAAACACCATGAATTTCATTTAACCTGTTAATTCAAATCATCAAGTTTTCTTCTATTCATTCCTTCTTTTTAAGCAAATTATTTAAATTTATAGATAAAATGCAGGAAAATTTCTACAATTATGAAATTAAAATATTTATTTCACCAATACCCATTAATTAATTGATGGAGCTCATTATGAAATTGGGGTCTTGTTTTACTTTAGGTACGCCAGTTTTTTTTTTCAATAAGAAAAGTATCCGTTTAAAAAAGTATCTGTTATACTGCAATCAATGTTGTTATTCTTCTATTATATAATCATATATTAACAGATAAATATTGAAACTTGTAAAAAAAAAAAAAATAAAAAATAAAATAAGATGTTTTAAACGCTTTCTTTTTTTATTTGGGTGAATAATAAGTTGTTATTTATTTTACTATTCTTTCGAACAAATCCTCCTTCACATATATCATCACCTAATCAAATTCAAACAAATAAGGGCCAAAATGGTTCCTGCTGGTTTGGGAAAATTGTTTTCAATCTTTGCTTGTTTTGATAACATTTTGAATTCTCTCTTGCAAAACTTAATTGTGGCATACCCATTTGCCCAAACAAAAAAGAACAAAATGCTTTTGCTTGATGGCAATCGAAATTCGTTAAAACATGTTCCGATATACGCTCCAATATCTTGTCGGCATCTTCGCCTATTGCATTTATAAGAGCACTTCTTTTCAGAAAATATAACTTCGTGACCTGTCCTTTAATGCCTTTTCTGATCCTGTAAAATATTTCGTACTTTTGATGTAAGGTAAATAAAAACCTTTGATTTTAAGCAACGACTTGCTATATTAAACTCATAGCAAACGCAATTGCAAATAGGAGAAAATAATAGATAACCTACTCCAATTGTAAAACAACATATGGCATAATAATAGCCATTACTTTTTTATAACATATATTTTTTTCTGTTTAAAAATAATTGCCATAGCTAAAGTAAAAAAGACCACACAATTGTAACGACTTTATATATATTGAAAAAAAGAATCATAATTTACCATTTTTTATAAAACTTGTATTAAGATGCACTATGCACAAGGAAATATCTCTGCGAAGTATTTTTTCCGCACTTTCATCACTACGCAGCTCATTATTAATGCATTCTAATCAGGGGCCTATGTACAAAATGGCCCTTAAGGTGTGTCAGTAGTATGTTAAATGATAAAAAAATAGTATACGATTAAAACATCCTTATAAAAACGTAATATTTGTACCTGCACTCTCTGAACTCTATTATAAGTGTCCTTAAACTGTGACAAATTGTAATATTTCTGAATAAAGTGTTTAATAAATAAATATTTGTACCAGTTTTTCTTTACTTTGATGGGTCCATGGTCACACTATAAATGGAACTGTTTGTTATCGCTGTGACCTTTACCGAAAAGGAACCTTTGGGGGTTTGATTATCCATTTTGTACGAGCGTAGCAAACAGGAGTCCAAAGCATCGATAAAATAATCGATTAAAGCTAATTTATTTTTGTCAATGTTAAAGACCTTTTTATTTAGAAATAATACATTTGTCACACTCAAGGGCACTGAGTACTAGAGCTGAGTGAGACACATATAGCTAATTAACGCTCCGATTTTAACTGATAAGGTCTAAAAGGTAGTTTACTGAAGTCCTAAATTGTGATCTAAATAAAATTAGTTCATACAGTGAAGACGGTGTATCTTTAACTATTCTCAGAATCCCATTTATCTTCGTTGATTGTAAGAACTTTGTACTGAACCCATTATTTGAGTAACCCTCCCGAAAACGTCAGTAAAAGGTTTTCATTGTGCAACACAACACGTCTTGGACAAAACCGTTAAAGCTATGTCAGTTCCACGTGAATAGCATTAAGTAGAAAATTCAGTCATCTTGTGAAAACAAGTTTGTTGTGCTTTGAATCATAGTTTACGCGCTTCTACTTCTATTCGATTTTATTGAAATAAATGTAGTTGTGTTGCGAACAGGACTGTAGACTTTAATTTAAACTTAGACAAAGATTCATTACTTTTATACATAAGAACACATGATTTAAAGGTTTCCTTATATTATTTTGTTTGTTTATATAAATCTTTCAAAGTATATTGATATCTACCAAGAATCTAACCTCTAACCCCTGATGGACTTAGTCAATATATGTATACATCAACAACATATGTCCTTTGATACATAAAGTATATATGTACCAAATTATGATTACAGCAACTATGTAATTATTTTAGTACTTACTGTACATCACTGAATCGGTTCATTAAAGTATGTGCAGGACTTTAAAGGGTCGAACTGGGAACACTGGGTTTAAAATATGACTTCCTTCAATATTAAGAATCCTTGCCGTGTCTGTTCATTTCTGTTGAAGGTTCATCTTGTACCTTGGAGGAATTTGGATTTTTTTCTGAATTTGTAATGGTTATGTAAAGGCGAGTGTTAAATGCATGTCACATGTTTTAAATTGTATTATCATAACTACTTTGACTCCACAGTAATTTTAGGAGATTTATCACTGTTCGAGTTTTTCCGAATCGTCTAAAATTACCTAACTTGGGCTTGTTTTTAGTTTGAAATCATTACGAAATGAATGTATATTTCGAACCATTCATTAAAAACCTATTTATGACTTCTTAAAATTTTTTTTGTTTGCTTTTGAAGACAAGAAATCACGATTACAACTTATTCAATCCGGAGGCTTGAGGTATAGAAAATTTCCCAGTCAAAGAACTTACGATTGCGTTTTATGATTACGTTAAATAAATATAACCTCTCCAAAGATTTTATCTCCTAACCTTTTATCAGATTCAGCTAATGTTTGAAAAATTTTGATAAAACAAAAAATGTATTTAAAATAGAATTAAGAAGAACTTTAATATTCATTTATTTATCATAAGTATTATTTTTTAAACACTGCCATCAAAATCGCATTGGCGAACTGGGTTTTATTTGTTTGCTTTTGCAATCGAATAAGGTGTTAAAACACAATGTTTATTTTTGGTGGGTTTATCATCAGTTATAACTAAGCATTGTCAATTTCCATAATTTTTATAAATTCAAAGAATCGTACATTTGATGTCAGATACATCGAATTTAGTACACATTTGGTAAATTAAACTGTAAAAGGACTACGAATATTGTGCCGAATGCTGTTATAGAATTATATGTCAGTATGAGAAAAATAACGTAAATTTTGTTATTCTCCTCATACTGACAAAATTATTTTTAAAAATCTATTTTTTTTTAATAAACCTCAAAAACTTTCAGTTACTCAACATTCATTACAAATTATTCAAAACCATACATCATCGGAATTAGATTATCGTTCTGTCGGCAGTCCAATTCGGATGAAGGAGTACACTTCATCAATCTTCATGAAGACCAAGACCGCCTAACAATTACAAGACAAGACCAGTAAAAGAACAAACTTTTTTAAAAATAAAACTTAATGAAAAAAAAGTTACAAATATTTGACAATTATGGTTACTTTATGTAAAGAAATTGTGTAACCAATATCCTTTTGAATTAACTCTTCCAATTTTTAATTCGGGCTTAGTTAGGGTTCTTCTATCTAAAAAAAAAATACAGTAATATCCCTACAGTAATAATAAGTAATAAGCTAGTAGATAACTGCAAGACTGCTGCAAGACGAGTCACTCAACATTTGGGCAATACTATTCATCTTTATACTCACCGTCGATATAACGATGCTAATCATCTTATGATGTAAATGTTCTAAGTCAACACAAGTTTTCTTTAGCATAATAACAATCTGTGTATACTCAAGAATTATTCAAGGTTGTTGATGAAATGCAAGATCTTCAATGTAATGCCAGCCTAGAGATTGCTGGTTTTACCGTTATAAGGTATCTGAGCACATTGTATGGTCTATTACTCATGCTAAATCTAATTCTTGGAAGAATGACAAATATAAGATCATTAGAAAGTTTGTGAATGCGAGTAAAAATGGAGTAAGAATAAATATACTTGTATATAATGATATATTTAACTGATATATATATATATATATATATATATATATATATATATATATATATATATATATATACGTATATAGGGATAATCAGAAAATGTTTTACCCTAATAGAAGCTCGAATAACGGAACAAGTAAATTCAAACCTGTCTTACACAAATTTTTTTAAATTGTGTTTTCCACGATAATTACGAACTTAAGTTCACTGGTTAACTTAAGAACACAGCCATTGGACTATGGACGAATGGAGTGCTGTACTTTTTACATATGAGTCAAGATTCGCTCTTCGATCTTCATACGGGCGTGAAAGGGTGTGGAGAAGAAGAAACTAAAGATATGCCGCCTGTAATTTTTCCCAGAGCCAACCTTTCCAACGTGGCTCATTAATGGTGTGGGCTGGGATATCAATGGAGCGCAGCTCAGAATTGGTTGTTGTTCGTGGAGGGTCTTTGACGGCCATTCGAGATTTTGGAACCTCATGTGTTGCCTATCCTCAACGAAATCGGCGATCGTTCTATTCTAATGCACGCCCACATGTCGCCCTTTACTTATTCGATAACCTCGGAAGACGAATAAGAGCGAGTGCAACACTTCCTGAAACACTGCAGGACCTTGAAAGGGCTCTTCGGGAGGAATGGGCTATCCTCCAGCAAAGTGACATTTCCCGACAAGTGGAAAGTATGCCGAGGCGTCTTCAGGAAGTAGTGAAGGCAAGAGGAGGAAACACGCGCTACTAAACGATGATGTAATTAATTTCTTTTAGAATAATAATGGTTCGTTTTTCAATTTTTGTTTTCTCTAATCTTTCTTACCCTATCACATTTTGATTATTAAAGGTAAAAAAGATTATAAACTTCCATTATCTACAAATACAACTTTTTTTAAAAAGTGGGTGGAATTGTTACTATATATATATATATATATATATATATATATATATATATATATATATAACTTAAAATATGAATTATGGTCGGATAAAAGGTCATGAAATTATTTGTTTTCATGACCTATTTTTCATATCTTAAGTTATAATATTATAATAAGAATTATAAAAGAAAAATATTGTAATATTATATATATTGCGGTAAGCAACAGGGTTATCCTAAATTTAATATTTAATATAACTAATGCTTATCCCATAAGAAAAAACTGCTTGTTTGATCGGATATGATACTGATCAGTAGGAAACCTGTAGAAAGATTATTTCAATAATTAATAATTATTTTTAGATACAGCATTTAAACCACCATGTTTTTTTAAAAAATACATTGTATTTGAATTAAAAAGTATTTAAATTGTTTTCAGAGTACGTATTATAAAATATTTACATCTCATGAAGGTGTGATTAACAACTAATTTCTTAAAAAATAGTTATAAAATCAGAAGACGGTGGATACACTTTTAAAATAATTTGAGGATTTGTTAAATTGTTTCATTTTAAACAATTACTTGTATATTTAACAAAACAATATGTTCTTCTACCCTCTCATATGATAAGACTTATGTAGTACTGCTTATTTTTTTTAAAGCTTATCATTTTGTGTTAAAAAAATAATATATATATATATATATATATATATTTTTTTTTTTTTTTTTTCCCTACGTGGTAACCCCACACAAGGATCGTTTATTTGATTTTCCTTCATGCACCATGCATTAAAGACATACTACATGAATTAAATTTTTTTACAATTTTTTTTTTTTTCTAGTTTCACATGATTTACATTTTTAGTTCAAATTTATATACATTAACAAAAAAAAAACACAAAGAATAAACACACAAAAATTAAATCGGAAAATTAAATATTAAACACACAAAGTCAATCCAACAAAGCCAAAAAGAAATCACCCACGCTGCCCATCCCTGGTTAGTAAGTCGAAGTCGATCGATCTAATAAATCTAAGAAAGTCTGTCTTGAATTCAGTAAATAACTTTTGTTCCGTCTCAGGCCAATTTCCTCTTTTGATAATTATGCTTTTTATTAACTCAAATCGCTGTCTGTCAAATCGTTTACATTCATATATTATATGTTTAAAATTTTGAACCTGTCCGTCTTCATCACATAAGTCTGTTTGTATAATGTTGAATCTTTTAAGATATTGTTTTGTATTCCCATGTTCCGTAAGTACTTGCGTAAGTTTGTAGTCATTACTGTGAATGTGTCTGTAATTGTGAATTGAAATGTGTGGTATAAATCTGTGTAAGCTTGGTGACTTAGCTGAGGTCACCCATATGTGATCCCATCTTTTGATGAAATCCAACTTTAAATTCATATTAATATACGATAAAGGAGCTTGATGATACGATGGCGGCAAATCGCTTTTAGCTGCTTCTTTTGCAAGGCAATCGGCTCGTTCATTGCCCTCAATCCCACAATGTGCTTTTACCCATTTTAGAGTCACTACTTTCCCTACAGTTCTCATCATTAACAATTTGTTTCTAATTTGGTCAGTCAAGTAATCATGAATGTCCCAATTATTAACAGAGTCTAGCAGAACTTTGTTGTCTGTATTTATTGTAACGTGAGTATTCGTTTGTAGAGGGTATTCATATATGTATTCAGTAACCATTAAAATAGCGAATTTTTCTGCCTGATTATTTGAGCAATATGATTCTAATTTATATTGATGTTCTATATTCCTACCATCTTGAGCTCTGAACAACCATGCACATCCAACATTCTCGCCGTCCTTACTACCATCAGTGAAAACATCAGTATTTTCAGAAGTAATTCCCGGTCCAGTCCATAAACTTGTTGCAGGGTGTAACCAAGATTTACAGTCAGTAATTCTTTCTATTTTGTCTAGGGTCAGGTCTTTGTATCCTCTCTTTCCTTTTCTAATGTTATATAAGGTCGTTCGTTTTTCAATCTTCATTTGGATTGGCAACAGCCCTGCCAATAATATTGTGGCCTCGAATGATAGTGTACGATAGCCCTTACATATCTTAATCGCAATTAACCTCTGAAGCCTTTCCAACTTCACCAAATTTTTCTTACGTTCAACGGCCGGATGCCAGACATGCACAGCGTAGAGCATCTTAGGAAGCAGCTTCATAAATTTCCTTTAACACTTCCGATCTGAGTCCCCATGTCGCTTTTGCAGCCACTGATAGTCCATTTATAATCCTTAAAGTGTTGTCATATAGATTATCTATATGTCTGTTCCAATTCAGTTTTCTGTCAAAGAGAAGCCCCAAATATGATAATGTATCACATTGCGTTATTCTTACTGTATTGAGTCGAATATCCAATTCTGGTACAATTCTCTTTTTTGTGAAGATTATATATTTTGTCTTGTCTAGATTAAATTTAAGTTTGTTGCGTCTAGTCCATCGTCTCAGCCTTGATAATGTTATGTTTGCTATTGTCTGTAATTCATCGAAATCTCTTCGTTTTATAAGTAATAATAAATCGTCTGCGTATGCTAATAATGTTGAATTTTCCTGTAGGTCTATTTCGAAAACAGTATTGATTAAGATGTTCCATAGTATAGGTGATAGTGCTGATCCTTGAGGAGTTCCTAGCGTCAATTTCTTGTCAATATAATGAAAGTTTGTTTGGATTGCAAGTTTTCTGTCAGAAAAATAATTTTGAATGATTTTGTATATGTTTTTTGGACATTTATATTTCTTTAGATTATTTAAAATCGCAGGCCACCAGGCGTTGTCAAAGGCACCCGCGATATCCAAAGAAACAACCAATAAATTACTATTTTGCCGGAGTGTACTGGTGATATGGTCGTTCAATTCACTGAGTGCATCGTCAGTTCCTGATTGGGGTCTGAATCCAAATTGGTGTCGGTGGAGTATATTGTTACTAAGTAGATGATGCATTAATCTATTTTTTATTATTTTTTCAAAAATTCT